AACCAAAGTAAGACCATTTGGTTTATACTGATTTTTTTGTGTGTACAAGTTGATACCAGAAAATTTTAATCCAATATAAATCAAAATGTCAATCATATAACCTATTCAAAATTTCTGCCTACACTTCCCTCAATTCTGATCCTTGTTTCAACAGACCAGCAGTAAGGAAGTGAGCCAACCCTCCACACTCAGGAAACAGAGATTATAAGAAAAGGGCAAAGTTTTTCTGGCTGGTTGTTATCTGGCCATTATTTTGTGTGTACACTTGGCTAGGCAAACAGTCCCCCGTTACTCAAATACTAATCAGATGTTGCTTTGAGGGTATTTTGTAGATGTGATTAAAATCTACAACCAGGTGACTTTAAGTAAGAGAGACTTTCATAGATAATTTGGGTGGGTTCCATTCAATTGATGAAAGGTCTTACGAGCAGAGTTGAAGCTTCTCTGGTGAAACAGAAATTCCACCTGTGGATAGCAGCTTCAGCCTCTACTGAGATGCTAGTCTGCCCTTCCTGACAGTCTGCCCTCTGGATTTTGGACTTGCCTAGTGAACTCCACAACTGCATAAGCCAACTCCATTCAATCAATTTCTTAACATATATTTCCTACTGAATCCACTTCTCTTGTTGAATCCTGACTGATACAATACCTACATACTAATTATTTCTCAGGGGACACTCTGTGGGTTTTAGGAGATCCCAGACACAGATCAATATGTGGTAGGCAGTTAGATAGACATGAGCAAAGCAAGGATGATGGGCCAGATACAGAAGGTCACCAGGGCAGAAAGCCCTGGATGCCTGACAAAGGACAATTGTAGGGTAGGACCTTGCCCTAGGATGACCTTTCCTCCCCTAGACAGGAAGTAAGACTCTGTGTCCAGCAAGCAGTGCCCAACCTCTCCTATGTGTCCTCTAGCTTCCCTTTTCACTTGGCTTGAGGGGTAGGGGTGGGGCGGGGAACACTCCAACCAGCCCTTCTGCCACAAATTCTTTCAAAGAATCTGCCTCTGGCCCAGCCAGCATGGCTCAGTGGTTGAGCATCGATCTATGAACCAGGAGGTCACTGATTCCCCGGGCAGGGCATATGCCTGGGTTGCAGGCTTGATCCCCAGTGTGGTGCATGCAGGAGGCAGCCAATCAATGATTCTCTCTCATCATTAATGTTTCATCTCTCTCTCCCTCTACCTTCCTCTCTGAAATAAAAATATATTTTAAAAAGCAAACAACAAAAAACAACTGCTTTTAATTTTTTTTAATATATTTTATTGATTTTTTTACAGAGAGGAAGGGAGAGAGATAGAGAGTCAGAAACATTGATGAGAGAGAAACATCGATCAGCCGCCCCCCGCACATCCCCCACTGGGGATGTGCCCGCAACCCAGGTACATGCCCCTGACCGGAATCGAACCTGGGACCCTTCAGTCCGCAGGCCGACGCTCTATCCACTGAGCCAAACCGGTTTCGGCTGCTTTTAATTTTAAAAAAAACAACAACAAAAACAAAGGAATTTGCCTCTGTAATCAGTCTTTATTTTGCCCTTATATGCGCTGTACAGCCCTGGTTGGGTGCATCTGGAAGGCAACCAATCAATGTGTCTCTTTCACATCTATGTTTCTCTCTCCGTCTCTACCCCTCCCTTTCACTCTCTCTAAAAATCAATGGAAAAAATATCCTCAGGTGAGGATTAACAACAACAAAAATGGCTCCTTGACTAGAGAGTGGTGATGGTTGCAAAACATTATGAATATAATTAATGCCACTGAATTGTACACCTAAAAATGGTCAAAATAATAAATTTTATGTCATGTCTATTTGACCACACACAAAAAATGGCTCCTTTGAGTCCTGTGCCATCTGTCCCAGACTCTGCTCCTTCTTGTCATTATTATCCTCACACCTGCTCCCTCCCTCACAATAATCCGGGACCTTGGTCCAGAACTCAGAATACTTCTCAATTCCAAGTTAGACCTACACTCAAAACAGCAGAAATGAATTTATGATTAAAATGTGAAACAAAATAATAATAATAATATAAACTTACTTGAAAGAAATTTTGGAATATGTATGTCTGATCCTAGGTAAGAGATTCTATGGGGAATACCAGAATTCACAATGGGGGCAGCAGGGGAGTATGAGAGATTGACTTTACTAAAACTTAAAATACATGAATAAAAAAGTCTCCATAATGTCTAAAAACAAATAATAGAAGAAAATTACTTGCAACAACAGGTAATTCAGAGGAAAATACAAATAACTTGAGAAGATACTCAAACTAGCAGTTAGTAAAACACAGTTGGGACATACCATGCCCCTCTCCCGTATGCAATAAGAATAAGCCAAAATTTAAAACTGAGACCATATGGAACTGAGAAGGGGGGGAGGATCAGTATTCTCATCCATTGCTTCTGTCTTTTCACAAAGTAATCTGGTAGTATCTGGTAACATTTTTACTTTGGCATACATTTTAGGAATCTATCATAGAGAAATGGGCCATAATGAACAGAAATGTTCACTGTAGCACTTATTTCACCTTCTAATATACTATTACTCCCAAATCTTTTTCTATCCAGCATATTCTTCACTTCAGCATCCCCTACAGCTTATTACAACTAGTCTGACATAGGTTGCTGCCAATAGTCATGCAATAGTGATGACTGAAGGGCCTCTTGCCTCATCTGAGCTCTCAGTGCTGACCAGCAAAACTGCCTCTAACCAGATGTATCTTTTCCCTTTGTGGAAATTCCAAACTTCTGACTTCCATATGTCCCAAACCTATCACTTCCTCCTCCATTCTTAGCATGTGAGCTTGTCTTTTATTTCACAGAGAAAATGGAGTTCACCAGGCAAGAACAGTCTACATCAGTGGTTCTCAACCTTCCTAATGCCGCGACCCTTTAATACGGTTCCTCATGTTGTAGTGACCCCCAACCATAAAATTATTTTCGTTGCTACTTCATAACTGTAATTTTGCTAGTTATGAATCATAATGTAAATATCTGATATGCAGGATGTATTTTGTTACAAATTGAACATAATTAATGTATAGTGATTAATCACAAAAACAATATGTAATTATGTATGTGTTTTCCGATGGTCTTAGGCGACCCCTGGGAAAGGGTTGTCTGACCCCCAAAGGGGTCGTGACCCACAGGTTGAGAACCGCTGGTCTACACTTTCTTCCCTATCACTTTCAAACGTATCATAGACACTTCTCCAAAGTGGACATACAGATGGCCAAGGGACATATGAAAAAATGCTCAAAGTCACTAATCATCTGAGAGATGCCAATCAAAACAACAATGAGATATCACCTCACACCTGTCAGAATGGTGTGACAAATCAACAAATCAACAAATGACAAGTGCTGGCGAGGATGGGGAGAAAAAGGAACCCCAGTATACTGCTGCTTGGAATGCAGACTGGTGTGGCCACTATGGAAAACAGAATGGAGTTTCCTCAAAAAATTAAATATGGAACTTCCATTTGACCCAGTGATCCCACTTCAGGAATATATCCTAAGAAAACTGAAGCACTTATCAGAAAGAATATATGCACCTCTATGCTCATAGCAGCGCAATTTACAATAGCTAAGATTTGGAAACAGCCTAAGTGCCCATCAGACGAGCAGATAAAAAAAAAGCTGTGGTATATTTACACAATGGAATACTAGGCGGCAATAAAAAAGAAAGAACGCTTACCATTTGCAGCAGCATGGATGGACCTGGAGAGTATTATACTAAGTGAAATAAGCCAGTCGGAGAAAGATAAGCATCACATGATCTCACTCATATGTGGAATCTAAAGAACCAAACAAACAGATGATCAAAACCAGATCCAAAGCATGAACAGACTGTTGAACCTCAGAGGGAAGGCAGGGGAGGATGGGTTGGATGAGATCAACCAATGAACGTGTGTGCATATAAACATAACCCTTGAACACAGACAGTGGGGAGGTGAAGGCCTGGGAAGGAGGGAGGGAAGCGGGGAGGATTCGGCTGGAAGAGTTAATGGGGGAAAGGAGGACCTATGTCATACTTTCAACAATAAAGATTTTTTTTAAAGAAAAAAATCAGGCTAGAGCCATGTACAAGCAGTGAGCGGGCATCTCGGAGCGAAGAATTCTGAAGAGAGCGAACCCAGGCAGTCACGGGAGCGACAGCATTTGAACTGAGTTCTGGGAATCAGTGGGACTCCAACAGGCGGCTAGTAACACTGAGGGAAACCGCAAAGGATCTTAGCAAAGGCACAGAGACTAAAAACGAGTTCCTTGCTCTTTAGGACACCAGAAGTGCGCACAGGATGGACAAACGTGGGTTGAGGATGCAGAAGAAACCTTGCGAACAGAAGTGATTGCAGAGTGTTTGCCACGCAAAATGCCAGGAGACGGGAAGGGAATGCTAAAGATAGGAGTAACGAAATAACAGCACACCCCAAGGTACTCAACTGTAGAAAGGAAAGAACAAAGCTGTCGCCAAGAAAGCCAGAAGGGCCACGACCCAATCGCCCCTCACAGCTTCTCGGCACCAACACTGGTGACAGCGAGACTCCAGGCCGGCAGACGGCGAAACAGCGCCTCCCGCAGGCGGCCAATCACCTGGGGAAGTACCGCGAGGACGAGACCTGGAATGGGAACTACATCTCCCACTAAGGCCTGGAGCACGGGGCTTCACAGTACTTCCGCTTCCGCCCTCACACGTGCTTTCTTCAAGCAGACCCACCCGGAAGCGGGCCAGACATGTGATCGCGCGTGACCACACGTGACGAGCGACGAGCGTGTTTTTTCCGCCCTCCCCTCCCCTTCCCCCCGCCCCCCAGCGGAGAAGCCCGGAGGCGGGACTCTGGGACCCATTGGTAGAAAGGCAAACCGAAAAGGTGGAACTAAACTTGAAAATCTCGATAGTGATTGGAGTTGATAGGACCAGGGCGGAGCCTAACGCCCAAGATACTGTCCAATCAGCGTCCAGGATGGTCAGGGACGGGAAAGGTGGTGAGAAGGTTCCGTGGTCACCAGCCGCGGGGTCTAGTGGGAGGAGCAGTTGCCCAGCTGCCGCCCGGCGCTTCCTGTTTCCGGTTCCCGGAGTGGAGCACCGCGAGGCGCCGTGGGGAACGCTGGCGGTGACAAGATCCCTGGGACCGGGGTCTGCGGCTGGCCCCTCGCTGGCCCTGTCTCCCAGCCCCAGGCAGGGACTCCCCTTGGGAGTCTGAACTTTGGCCACTCCCTTTGCTCACGACACGTGAGTACGAGGGGTTGGTGAGCGCTCACATCCCGGCGTCGTGTGACGGGCCGGGACCACCAGGTCTCCCTTGTCCAGGGTTCTAGCCCCAAATACAGCTAAGGAACCCTTGAGCAGCGTGGAGGCGTCGGCGGGAGGGCAGGAGTCGCGGAGTCGGAAGGGAGTGATGGGAAAGGGCCCCCCGCGACCATGGAGGGAATGTCCGTGTGTTTGGGAGGCGGGGAAAGGAAAGTCCCCCGGTGTGGAGTGCGCCTGAGGAGTTGCCGGAATCCTGGCCTGCATGGCGAGGCGGGTAGAGTAGCAGCATTGGCCCTCGGCAGGTGGAAAGTTGGGGAAACTAGGATTCCCAGGCCCCTGGGAGAAGTCTGAGAGGGGATGCGTGTGCGGCGTGGGGAAGGGGAGGCAGGCCGGGGAGGGTGCTTGCGTTTCTCTGTCGCGAGCCTCTGCCCTGAGACGCAGAGCTGCTCCTCGGGCTCTTCAGCACCGGCCCTTCTCGCTCACTGGGCTGCTCTTCTGAAAGCGGAGGGTGCAGGGGACGGACGGCAAGGACGGGTGTGGACATGAGCAATGAGTCAGGGAGACGGCAGTGGAAATGTCGTTGGGAAAATGAAACTCATGACTGGTCCTGGGTGAGGAAGAGAATGGTTACAGAGACTCCGTGATTGGGGAACGAGCTGCTCCCCAGTTCCTGGTTTAGTTCTTGATCATCCCGCTGACGAAGATCTGTTTAGCATGGCCAGGTAGAGCTGTCATATAATGAGGAAACGGAAGGGAACTTTTCAAAAATCTGCAGTCCTGCCCCACGTTTCCAAACTACCCAGACACACCGGCACCTTGAGGATCTAATTGTAGCGCATTAAAGGGGGGCCGCCTGGCCCTTGGATGTCATGCTCTTCCTGATAACCTTTTTGCACCCCCGTGTTTATCAGAAAATGTCCAGCAACTAACTGCCTTTATGCCGTGAACCGCCCAAATTACCCCACTAACTTCGCACGTTTGTAATACTTGTAAATAACCTAAGGGCAAGGAACATAACCTTTGTAAAGCATCAGTTTCCACGTTTTTAAGATGGGAGAAGTTGTATCTACTTTTCTGGGTTGTGAAGATTAAGGAACATAATCGCGATAAAGCACTCAGCACATGTCACGGAATCAGAGAGAACAGCTCAGCCCAGCATGTAGTCAAACCTCAAGCGAAGAAGGAGAAGGATGTAAATGGATTCTCACCCTAACTTTTTGAACCAATAAACAAGTGAAAGCTCGTTCAACTCAGCTAGTGCTGAGGGCAGGGCGGCTGGCCTGTCATCCTTTCCCAGTTTTGTGAGATTCCTTGTTCTCATCTGGGGAAAGAAGTCATCAACTGTTAACAGACGAGGAACTGACTTTGAGGCCAAAGAACACAGCTTTCTGTTTGAACATCCCTCTAGGAAAACTGGGTCCTGAGAAGAAAAGTCTTGCAAGCCTAGCATGCTGAACCTTTAAATTAGGTCTTTAGAGAATATAAGGAAAATGGCATGCTAAATCAATCTAATAAGAGATATCTTTTGTTTCTCTTTAGTAACTCAGCCGGTCATGTTGGGTGTTGAGCAATGCGTTAATTTAGGGAAGGTTGGAGTTTGAGGTCTGAGTTCTTTATTCCACCTCCTGTACAGTGAACTGTGTGAGGCCTCACTACCCCTTCCCCTTCCTCTTCTTGCTTTGTCAAAAAGAAAGCAAAGCTTTGGCTGCCTTCTCTGATCCCACACAAAAACTGATGTGAAAGGAGACAGGTCTGCATATAGCAATTTAATATAGACCATCAGCTCTGAGGGCAGACTTACCTGGTTCACTCTACTTACTGTCTCTGTCTTCTCATCTGTAAAATAATTGTATTTTACAGGTACAATTACAAATACAATTACAGTAATTGTATTTGCTGCATAGGGCTTTTGTAAGGATTAATTAATGTATGTGAAGTGCTTCAAACAGTGCCTGGCAGAAGGCAAGCACTCAGACTGTTTCCTGTTGGTGCCTTCAGTGCATTTATGGGACCCTCGGTCTTTATGGCTGGCCATAAATAGTCTGTGGAAACACCTTATTAATATCACGGTAGTGAATTAATGTTTGGAGCACACAAAGTCAGGGAGACAACTTTCCATGCATTTGTGGTCCTAGTGGAGTATGGGAAACAGTAGGTCAAATGTAAACTTGTTCAGGGGAGTGGAGAAAATTCATTCAGGGCTCAGAGCTTCCATTTTCCTATCTTTAAACTTATTGGTACACCTTAAATTCTGCCTGTTTTCAAGATTTTTATTCTAAAAATGCAATGAAGGTAGTGGGCAAGCATGGAAAAGAATTACAGGATTTTAAAGAGTATTGGAACCAAAGTCAAGACTTGTAATATTGGAAGCATTTTATTATAAATGAGAAAGACTTGAAAGAATTAAATCTTTGTATCAGAAAAATTAATGATACTGTTATGAAATTAACAAATAGCAGTGGCCTAAAGGGTCATTAATGATACCAGAGTGAAATCTTTTTTACAAGGGTAAATCAGTGTGTCCTAGGTATGAAGATAGATAAAATGAGTTTGGGAAACAGAGCCTCATGTTTCTATTGTAGAGCAGTACAAGCAGCAAGTGGATTGGATTTACTAAATTATAAAGTGACTTGTCGACCCCCAAGGATTGTCAGGAATTTGGAGTGTATAAAGATAACTGTATTTACTGGGAATCTAGAAACTCTTGAAATTTGTGACTTGGATAGCTTAAGTTGAGTTTTGGAAGACTTCTTCAAACTACTCATTTTGACCTAATGAATGTTCTTCGTATCTATATATATAAAAGCCTAAGCGACCCTTAATACCTAACGACCAGTCACTATGATGCACACTGACCACCAGGGGGCTGATGCTCAATGCCGGAGCTGCCCCTGGTGGGCAGTGTGCTCCACTCCGCTCAGCCAGAAGCCAGGCTCATGTCTGAAGCTACACCTGGCCCTGGCTGGGGCTCCTCCCTGGCTGCCTGTCAGTTCAGCACTGCTACATCCCCCAAGGGGTCCCGGATTGCGAGAGGGCGCAGGCCGGGCTGAGGGCCCCCACCCATGCACAAATCCATGCACTGGGCCTCTACTAATTAAATAATTGGATGATTTTTCAGAGATGAGACTTTAAAGTAGATAATGCCAAGTTTTAGGTACTATGATTGTTTTATCTCTATTCATCATTCTTCTGGTAAATATGTAGGAAGACTTGGTGCTCCTCTTATATCCTCCTTCCTATATAATAAAACCATAATATGCAAATCAACTGAACTACAGAATGACCAGTCGCTGTGATGTGCACTGACCACCGGGGGCAGATGCTCAACGTAGGAACTGCCCCCTGGTGGTCAGTGTGCTCCCACAGGGGGAGCACTGCTCAGCCAGAAGCTGGCCTCATGGCTGGCGAGCACAGTGGTGGTGGCGGGGGCCTCTCCTGCCTCCATGACAGCGCTGAGGACCCCTCGGGGGATGTCCGCCTGCCAGCTTAGCAGGGAGCAGGCCGGGCTGAAGGGACCCTCCCTCCCCCGCCCCCCCACCCAGTGCACGAATGTTGTGCACTGAGCCTCTGGTATCAGTATAAGACAGGGCCCAAAGTACTGAGTCTCTTCCTTTTATATCTTTCTTCATAGCTTTCAAACAGACCCTTTCAAGTGTTAAAGTGTAATTTGAGTGTTACAGTCCCTATCAAGTGTCATTATAATTTCAGTGTTATCTTAGGGAGGGCACTGGTCTAAGTAATATTTATGAACTCTAGCCCCTGCACACACTTCTCAGCTGTTCATTTTCTATGTTTATGGCAAGTTCCAGGCAGAGCCCCCATCCCTCTGGCCTCAACCTCTTCCCTTTAAATATGTGGCCAGCAAAACTTGTTTGATCCTGCCAGGAGCATATTCTTGTGTTAAAGATTAAATCTTGCATGGCTGGTATAGTGAAACTGCACAAAGTTTAAAGTATTAAACTTTAACTGAGATACCGCAATCTAACTTCACCAAACAGTAAAGAGGCAAGGATGTCTCTACTCAGGCTGTCAGAATTATTTTTCCTTTCTGACTGAATTAGACTGAAGGTTATATATACGAGCTTCCTGATGCAGTTGCTTTGGGCAAAGAGCTATTAAAATCTATTTGTTGCATATGTCAAAGACTCTTACACTTTCTGCATAATCGAAATATCATTCATTGGTAGTACCTAAGTATTCTGTACCTTTTTGGTCCTTCTGACAGTTTCTAGAACAAAATATGTGTCTTTTTTCCCAGTAGAACTGAGGAGTTGGTAAACTGCTTTGGAAGTTGAGATATTCTTTTTTAAGCATACCTTGCAGAAATTATCAACAACAGCCTGTAGACAGTAACTCTTCATCAAGGCCAGCACTGTCCTCTTTGCTGAATGTACATTGTGTCCCTGTCCTGTAGGGGCACAGGAAGGACAGCAGGTGAGCAATGGTGTCAGCTAGAAAGAAAGTTTGGTGGGACGAAGAGGGGAGGGAAGAAGCCTAGAGACCTAAGAATCCAATTCAGAATATTAGGAGACAGGAAAATAATAACTTGGATGACAGCTAAAAGTTTGAAATAGGCAGATACAAGAAACAAAACCAAATTCACAATAATGAAGAAAACCGGCTATTATAAAATATGAGGTGATAGGTGGAAGATGAAAAGGTTTAAAAAAATACCTTTCATTTAGTATACATTCATGTGCTTTATCTCTGTCCCTTCTCTTCTGATCCTCCCCCCTTCTCCCAGCATATACACTTTCTCCCAAAAGGATGTACCCCTTCTACAGCTGCTGGGGGACAGGACTACTGCTGCTGCTACTCCTGGCCATCATGGTAAGAGAATCCTGGCAGGCAGAAGAAAAAACCTGCGACCTGGTAGGAGAAAAGGGCAGAGAATCAGAGAGAGAGTTGGCTGTACTGAAGAGGATGACACCACTGTTTAACAAAAGGTAAAATGAGAAGAACCTTAAAGAGCTAGAGAAAATCATTGTTTTTCCACCTCGCCTCTCCAGACAACTTCTGGTACTCCCACCTCCACAGACCCAGCTCTCCAACTTCAGATAGTCCCCAGATCCGGACCCCAGGACCCGACAGACCCAACCTCCCCCACCCCACCCGCAGTACCCCGGGCCCCAGGGGCTCTTGGAGGGAGGTGGTTAGAGGTGATACTCACCAGAGAAGGGCTTTTTTATTGTTATCCTCACCCCAGGATATTTTTTCCATTGATTTGTAGAGAATTGAAGGGAGGGAGTGGAGAGAGAGAAAGCAACATCGATGTGAGAGACACATCGATTAGTTGCCTCCCGCAAGTGCCCTGATGCAAGTGCCCTGATGCACGCACACCCTGAAGGGAGTTGGGGGGTCGAACCTGCAACTTAGGTATGTGCCCTTGACGGGGAATCGAACCCAAGACCTTTCAGTGTGTGAGTCAGTGCTCTAACCACTGAGAAACACCAACCAGGGCAAAGAAGGGCTTTTTTAAAAGAATCTTTTTCAACTCTTACTGATTTTATTTTGGCATTACTATTGAATATGGTGGGGATACATGTATAATAACCTCCTCTCTATCTTTATCTGGGATAGCTGGTGCTATCATGCTTGCTTTTATGATACAGAGCAAATTCTCACCCAGTTTTTAGTAGCTTGTGCATTTCTCTAATGCAGAAAAGTAGTGCTTCTAAGGCTGGATCCAAGAGACCAGCTTGTAGGAATTTAAAAAGCATTATTAAATGCTTTCATGAAATAGGACTTTAGAAGTATCAGATAAGCATATTTATGCCTATACACATCATCATCATCAGTGTCAAGAATCTTCAGGTATATAAATCTGAAGATGACCTTTAAGGAACAAGGGAGGTATCCCAAGAACATAGACCCTTATTCACAGGGAAATGGTAGCTAACACTTTAGCATAGTCTAGAGCAGAGATACTCTAGGAATATCTAACTGTCTGGGTGGCGTATTTTAATCAGTCATCATCAACAGTTAGGATGGACTGTCCTAATTGATGAGACATTAAAGTAGATAATGCCAAGTCTTAGGTACTGTGGCTGTTTTATCTCTATTCATCATTCTTCTGGTGAATATGCAGGAAGGCTGTCAGGGTTATTGTTTCATGATTCAGCAAATATTCACTATTACATTTAGCCATGACATCCGATAAATTAAATGTACCTTTTTGGGGGTCAGAGGTTAGGGCGTAAAAGGAAGAAGAGCTCAAAGCTAGTAACTCTTCTCTTCTTTCTCCTCCCTTCCTGACAGCTTTGAGAGCACTGTGGGCCAGGGGCAAGACACATATATGTACAGATTCAGGGTGTGCCGGGAAGCCAGTAACCACTCCTCCGGGGCAGGCCTGGTGCAGATCAACAAAAGTAACGGGAAGGAGACAGTGGTGGGGAGAATCAACGAGACTCACATCTTCAATGGAAGTAAGACTCTCACTGATGACTGATTAATTGATCCCAAATCAGTCTCTCAGGCAATCCTGTATGTCCCTCCCCGTCTCTTCAGAATATCATATGGTTTGTGTGGTTCAGCATACCTCAGACTATAAACCACAGGGTACCTGGTCCCACAGCTCAGCTCCTCTGGAGCCAGGGCTCAGGACATTTATGTGTTTGTTTTAAAGTTAGGGAAAAGCTTATGCAAAAAAAGAAGAATTTAGTGGAATTATATAGCCTGGAGTCCTTTTACTTAATGCGTATTTCATGCTAGGCTTGAAAATATCAACCACGACCTTTTCTTATCAGATTAATCAAACTTTGCCAGTTAAGTTATAAGAGATCAAGTTTTGCCAACCAGTCTACGAAAATTTCTCCACCAACTTATGATAATGATGGTGATAACGTTTCTCAAAAGTCAAAGTCTTATTGCTGGAAAACATTACATGAGCACCTATAATCTAATTCTTTCCCTTAAGGTAGGGGTGGGGGAACCTTTTTTCTGCAAAGGGCCATTTGGATATTTATAATATCATTTGCAGGCCATTATCAATTTAAAAGTTAGCTTCCTATATTTGGTCATTTAATTAACACCCCTAAAGCCTTGGTGGGGCCAGACCAAATGATTTCCCTGCCCTTATGCAGCCCTCAAGCCAGGTGTTCCCCACCCCTGCCTTAAGCAGATAAATTATCCCCCCAGTGCTATTTGCTAAATAATATAAATGACAAAAGACTAGGTTTTGACTCGTATCATATTGACTTTAGTGACTGAGAAATCTTTTCACCTTTTTTTACTGTTTTCATATATGCAAAATTGGGAGCAGAATCCTTACCTTATTGAGCTCACATGACTTTTTGAATCAAATATTTTACAAAAGAAATTTGAACACAGTTAATACTGGAAAAAGAAAAAAAAAAGAAGAAGAAGAAATGCCTCCCAATCTTAAAAAACATCCACTTAGAACTAATCTGTGGCTAATTTAAATCTTGGGCTTTCTCCACCACAAATCTTAGGCTTTCTCCGCCACCCACTAATTGTAAGGGCCCACTTCCTTTGATGTTAGCAGGTGGTCAGCAAATGTGCACCATTGTTAAGAAATGAATCACAATTAGTTTTGCACTATCAGGAGCCTACCTCTAATATGGAAAATTAAGATTTTTAAAAATTTTTTTTTTTACATTTTTGTTGATTTGAGAGAGGAAGGGAGAGGGATAGAGAGATAGAAACGTCAAGGATGAGAGAGAATCACTGATCAGCTGCCTCCTGCACACTCTCTACCGGGGATCGAGCCTGCAACCCAGGCATGTGCCCTTGGCCGGAATTGAACCTGGGACCCTTCAGTCTGCAGCTGATGCTCTATCCACTGAGCCAAACTGGCTAAGGTGAAAATTAAGATTCTTGTATGAATATTTGATTCTTCATTGTCAAAGCAAGGGAACATAAAGCCAAGTTTTAGCTTGGCATTTCCAGTATACAGAGTTCATACTGATGAGGGTTATTTTAATTAAAACCAATTTGTCTGAATGTCCCAATTCCATCTTACCACAGTATCCAGGTCTGCCTCTACTTTCCCCCACCCCCAAAGCTCCATTTTCCTTGTCCCTCCTCAGGTAATTGGATTATGCTGATCTATAAAGGGGGTGATGAATATGACAATCACTGTGGCAAGGAGCAGCGTCGTGCAGTGGTGATGATCTCCTGCAATCGACACACCCTAGCGGTGAGGCGCCCTGGGGCATATGAGCTAAAGAGAGAAAAGGACTGACCTGAGGTGGGAGAGACTTTCCAGAGGGTACAGGATACTATGGGATGGATTAGGGAAAACTCGAGGTTCAATTCCTCCCTGTATCTAGACACCCGTCTTCAGCGTACATGGAAAATAGGCTATTGGACCAGGAAAACAAATGTTTTGGAGTTTAGTGGGGGTTTTTTTTATTTAGATGGAGTCAAAACATTTTAAATGTGTTTTGTCCTTTCATCATCAGGACAATTTTATCCCTGTATCTGAGGAACGAGGCAAAGTCCAAGATTGTTTCTACCTCTTTGAGATGGAGAGTAGCCTGGCCTGTTCCCCAGAGGTCTCCCACCTCAGTGTGGGTTCTATCTTACTTGTCACGTAAGTACTCTTTTTTTCCCTTATCAGTCCAAGCCTTTCCCTTTTTTCTTTTTTTCTTTTTTAAATCCTCACCTGAGTATATGTTTTTAATGATTTTTAGAGAGAGGGGAAGAAAAAGAGAAACATCGATCGATTGCCTCCCACACAAGCCCCAACCCCGGGGATCAAACCCACAACTTGGGTATGTGCCCTGACTGGGACGACACTCCAACTGAGCCGCACCAGCCAGGGCTCTCTGTTTTTTGAACTCATAATTTCTTGGATGCGTATGGGCATAAGCTGTGTGTGTGTGTCAGAGAGGGAGAGGGAGAGAGATAATTGGAGGGTGAAGAACTTTGTGAGAAAATCCTCATTAACCTCTGACTATTCAAGTTTTTAAAAATGAGATTTGTTTTGTCCCCAATAAATATTCACATTTGAAGGTGCTTTTTTTTCCCCCCTTCTGGAGGGCTGGACAGTTTTTAATACTATCCATTAGAATAGCAATTTTCAGCCAGTGTGCCATGTGATACACTTGTGTGCCACAAGAATTTTTAAAACATGCAATACCTGACTAATCAAGGGCACTGACCTCTTTTCCCTTAGATTAGCAAATAAAAAAAAGACAACAGCCCAGCCGGGGTGGCTCACTAGTGGAGCATTGACCTATGAACCAGGAGGTCATGATTCGACTCCTTGTCAGGGTATACTGGTATGCCCAGGTTTCAGGCTGGATCCCCAGTAGGAGGTATGCAGGAGGCAGCTGATCAGTGATTCTCTCTCATCGTAATGTTTCTATCTCCACCATTCCCTTCTTCCCTGAAATCAATAAAAATAATTTTTTTTAAATGATGACAGCCACCCTATCTGATGTGGCTCAGTTGCTTGGAGCATCGTCCTGTGCACCAAAAGGTCATTCCCAAACCCAGTCAGGGCACATGCCCAGGTTTCAGGTTCCATCCCTGAAGGGATGCATAGAGGAGGCAACCATCAATGTTTCTCTCTTTTTCTTTCCCTTCCTCTTTCTCTAAAATCAGGTTTTTTTAGCTCTGGCCAGTGTGGCTCAGTTGGTTTGAGTATCATTCTATACACCGAAAGGTGGTGGGTTCAATTCCTGGTCAGGGCAAATACCTAAGTTGGAGGTTTGATCCCCGGTCAGGAGGCAACTGATTGATGTTTCTCTCTCCCTTTTCTTCCTTTCTCTAAATCATTTTTTTTAATGTATCCTCAGTGAGGATTTTAAAGAAATTATTTTTAAGTTTTTTTAAAGATGTAACAACAAACACAGCATTAGTCCTCTGGTATGAATGAATCAAAATTATACCCCTTTTTTTGTCAGATTTGCAAAAAATACATTTTCTGGTGTGCTGCAGAATTTTAGTAATAGCTATGTGTTCCATGAGATGGTTAAAAATTGCTGCATTAGATTATTAGAACTTTTGGACAGACAGAATCATGTATCTAAGAGTGACTGTTGGCAGAAGTCAGTCATTTTTTTGTGAGCAGTTTGCTTTTCTCAGACTGACAGTCCTCTAATTGATTTTCTAGGGAAGCTACTCAGCCCCTTTTCATTTAATTTCACTACCTTTCCCCCCTTATTTTTACAAAACACGGCTTACGAAACAGCTAACAATGAGAACAGAGATTATCCTTAGTACCTGAGTTTTACTATTTCTTGGTTTTTAAGTATAGCTCTTTCTTCAACAGGTTTGCATCACTGGTTGCTGTCTATATCATCGGGGGGTTCCTATACCAGCGGTTGGTGGTGGGAGCCAAGGGAATGGAGCAGTTTCCCCACTTAGCCTTCTGGCAGGATGTTGGCAACCTGGTAGCAGTAAGTAACAGGGCAGCTGGCCGGGCCTGTAGCCTGCATACAAGGTTGAGTGACCAACTACCTGGTTTGCCCAGACTGAGGTTTCCTGAGACACAGGACTTGAATGCTAAAACCACAAAAGGGCCCAGCAAGTCAGTTGGTTGCCCCTAGTACTAAGTAGTATAGCCTCTTACTGTCTGGCCTTGCGAAGACTTGGCTGGAAGAGCAACACTGTTGCTTAGATTTAAGAATCTGATATAGCTGTTCAGGGGCCTAGATAGGAAGAAGGTGAGACCTAATTGGAATTTTTCTATTTCCTCCACATTCAATTTAGGCTGATCCTTGGAGCTTTGTGGGTTTTTCTTCATTATACCTGAAGAAAACTAGTGTTTGCCACATTCTTAGACCATAAATATACTTTGCCTTACCCTAAAGTTGGTTATTCCAAATGACCATTTTCTTCCTTTGTTTCTTTC